TTCACTGATTCACTGCCAGGGAAAAAGAGAGGGTGGGGGAAATGTGACCAAAAAAAATAAAAAAAAGTTCGCGCCATATAGAGGAAGGGGGAGGTCGAAAACAAGGGGTTTTTTTTTTAGCATACGTTCTACATCAGGGGTCACCAAACTTTTTTTCATGGCTGGCCGGATAACGGAAAAAATGACGAGGGGGTGGGGGGCGGATAATCATTCTGTACAATGCTTACAAGCCAGAACGAAAGCTCTGGGGAAAAAGAAGAATAACTAAGTTTAGTATTCGATGTTAATCATAGGTTCTGGTTGAGTACGTTGCTACATCCATGTACTGACATATATGCAATGGTTGGGGAAGCGATGCGGCTACCCTAACGGCTCCTAGCGGATGCCCGGGTAGCCTTGAAATTCCTATTGATAGGTGAGTGGCGTGCAATGCATCAAAAGCAAAGACAACCAACATATTTATTTACTATAAAAAAAGTTAGCAAAGGAGGTGACGTTAGCAAAAAGAAAGTTACATCAGACCTATTGCGCACATATTCGAATGGCAAAGGGTACAGATATAGATTTAGATTCATGTCAAAACGAGGTTGAAGTATTTGGTGTATCCCAGGAAGTCCAATGTAAAGAAGAAAGGGGACGACAATTTAATAAGGTAGAAGTCATTGGAAATGACCTTAGGTGGACGTATGTAGGGGATTGTCCCAGCGCCACAGCATGTAATGAATTGGTTGTTATGGAAACGGGCGGCATTGAAAGCAAAGAGAACCCTGTTCTAATGTCTGAGGACATGATTTTTGTTGTATCTCATGGTGAGCCATCAGATAATGTAAGTCCTGAAGTTGAAGTGTCTGATTTTTTGTGTGAAGTTGATGAGGTGAGTGTAATCCCTGAGGTGGGGGAAGGAGAGAAAATTGTTGTTGATAATTATTGTGATGTAAATGAGTCACTGTGTAATGTGAGCGAAGGTTGCTCAAATGTTGATATTTTTACAGAGATATGTACTGGTAATGAATATGAATTAGTTGATAATGTGAGCCAGGTGTGCTCAGGTTTTGATGCTATTGCAGAGATCTGCAATGAAAATGTAACACAAGTTGTTATGAGCAAGGGCTGCTCAGATTTTCATATTGTTACGGATAGCTGTAATGATAATGAATCACCTGTAAATGTGAGCCAGGGCTGCTCAAATTTTCGTATTGTTACGGATAATTGTAATGATAATGAATCACCTGTAAATGTGAGCCTGGGCTGCTCAGATGTTCATATTGTTACGGATAGCTGTAATGAAAATAAATTCCCAAGTAATGTGAGTGAAGGTTGTCCAGATTTTGAGAGCCAGGAGTGCTCTAACATTAAGTTGGAAACCAAAGTTGAAAGTGTTAAAGAGAGCGCTGCCAGCTCTAAATGTGCACTTGTTTATGATTTTCAAGAGGAGGTGAGTTGTCAGGTCCATGAGTTGGGAGGTGAGGCTTTTGTTTGTATTGTTAAAAATGAATCTGTTAAAATGAACTATTACCATGATTGCCTTGAAGTTCCTGATTTGTTTGAATTTCTTTTTTTATGAGACTCGTTTTTCATTTTGTAACTATTGCCTCAAGCCTTCAAACCCCTAGTGCATAATTTCCTCATCACCACCAGTAACAGAAACATTGCAAATCCCATCTACATGCATAGGAGCCAAAATGATCAATAAATTGATCGTGGGCCCTTAAGATATAGAAGAAGAAGAAGATCTCACAAACTATAAGTAGCACACAAAAAAAAAACACAAAAAAACGGGTTGTGAGATTTGTGAAACTGACGTTTGGCTTTTCCCAGATGACATCAATTTTTGGTTTGGAATTGCTGCATCCAATCAAATGTCCATCAATTTCTCTCGTTCAATGTGTTTACTTCACATTTTTACTTTTTATTTTTGAAAAGTTTTGCTCACAACACAAGTTTTTTCATGAATGCATGGTGCAAACGGATGCCTACACTTCCATTATCTGAAAGTTTAAATTGACACCATAAATAAACACGAGAAGTTTTTAGAGATCAGTAGATGCACTCAGTGCCAGAGAATACCACAACAAATTCCTATTATTCTCGCGTATCTGTAGCACTATGTTCTCTTAAAATTCTTTCTGTTCTCCGCACAACGGAACTTGCCGAAGGGCTGTTAGTTCCAACCGCGGCGACTACGATTTTAATGTCCCCCGTATGTTTCCAAAACTCTTCTTTCTTTCACTCATTTACAGTTTGCGCTTGTTATCCGACTATAAATATAATATTATTAGTATATTAATATTAAATATTAGCGGGAATATGCGTAATGGAAATTGATTCTAATTTTTTTCTTCAAACCAGTTTTTTATAAAAAACAACCTCAAGTTCCTTTGCATGTTTTTTAAATGATATCATTATTTGTTAATTAATTCTTATTTATTTTAAATACATGTTGTTTTACGCTGATCCAACTTCTAGTTTGAACCACATTAAATTTCACCAGTAACTTTATTTTTACCAGTGACAGACCGTAATCTGTACGCCCACTCAATTTGGCTGCATCTATAGGTACCCGGGTACCTATGGTCCCTAATGACAATTCGCACCCGGAGTGGCTCCGTACATATTAAATGGCTTCGAAGCCGAATGTGATAACAATAATAGTATGAGAAT